AGTTTACACATCAAAGCCTCGAAACAACTCAACAAATTGGCTCTAGCTCCAAAGTGTATTTTGGGATCTGTATTGAATTGGGATATATCTCTCTATTTACTGGGAATGTGTGAAATACAGGGTGAAACAGAAGTAAATCTAGATACTGATTAAAAAAAAAAAAAATCCTTATGTCTCAATACCTCTGAAAAAGACAAATATTGACATCTCCTTCTATAAATAGAATATTGTTGACATAATCCCTTGAACTATCAGTATGTGTCAGGAATATTACTCAGTCTACATACATGGTTCTCAGCTTTGTCACCTGCAGTACTCCATGCCAGGGGAAGACTGAAGGAGGGGATGTTTGTATAGGAAACATTTCTTACAACATACGGTGTAAACTGGCAACCCCAAAATGAATGCTGAAAGTTCAATTTAAATAGTAGGGGAGGAAGAGTCAGGTGAAACTAAATATCCTAAGCAGGAAAGCAAAAGCATTTGCATAACAAAACAAGATTATTTTCAAATTTCATTTGCATTCTCACTGAGGCACTGTACAAGCGTGCAGAGATACCACTGAACTGAACACTGGGGAAAAAAACAGAGGGTACCAGAATCTCTTTTGAAAGTCCGTTTGAATTAGAGGGTTCCTGAGGAAACAGCTTTAGAAGAGAAGTCAAGGAAAGAAGTTAGTGCTGAGAGGGATATCAATGTGGGGTGAAAGGTGTATGCTGGGAACATGCCCTCAGCTCTCTGCTGGAAGAGAAGCCGTAGGATGGAACCGTGTGGGGCAGTTAGAAAAATAACAACATGTACATACACCTGCCTGAGGTATTGGTTGAGACCTTCAGCACTTGGAAAGTAATCCAGATGAGGTGTTGTACCATGAGGTGTCCAGTGTGCCAAAACAAAACTGAGCACCACTCTGAAACAATTATATTTGATATTATTTGGTACTATATTATATGTTATATATTGCACCATTGTTGGAAATGTTCAAGGTCAGGTCAGATGGCTTTGAGCAACCTGATCTATTGAAAGAGAACCCTGCCCATGGTGAGGGGGTTGGACTAGATGATCTTAAAGGTCCTTTCCAACCCAAACCATGCTATGATTATATTTCTGGTTTAAGAATGGGACACACTTGGAATCATCCTACCTAATTTAGGCTTGTAACTGCAGGATCTATATTATAATTCTTGTTTTGCTGCTCTTGCTGTCTTCAGTGCAGAAAAGGTCAGGGAGTAATTCAGTCAGTCTGTATATTGTCCAAGTCACATTTTATAGTTGCATATCTTTCTACTGGCTGGAGGGGGAATGCAGGGATCTCCCTACTGACTGTCGAGAGTATAATCACCTTCTGTACTCAAATGCCAAAAAATGCATGGAGCTGATGCCCAGCATAGGCTTCATTGCAAAGAGAAAAAGGTATTTTAGAGAAAAAAGATTGGAAGAAAACGGAGATGAATGTTTTGAAGCCTGAGAATACAGATCAGTATTCTGATTTTTGAAGCCTTGAAATACAGATCAGCATTCTGATCTGTATTTCAAGATGAACCTTTTAGGTAAAGCCATAATTGACACATCTTGCGTGCTTGGAAAGAGAGCCAGCAATTGGACTAGTCAGACTGAAGCCACTTTGAAAAGCCAGCTCTTGGTCTGTATTTCTGAATTTTTGTAACACCTTTCTGCTCTATATATGTCTTGTTTGGACAGTAACCAGTTCCTGTGGTATCTGAGGCCAAATGGCTTTTTACTGATAGAACATATCAAATATTCAAAAGCAGACACACCTCATGAAACCAAGTGCAGAAGTCCACTGGCCAGTTCTAGATTCTAGAGAAAGATGGGACTCTTCAGGGGCGAGCCAGCTTCACTGGCACAGCACTGACCTGTTAGAGGCCAGGGCAGGTTACCTTAGTTACAGCACATCAGTTGTGGGAAGAGTAGATAACTGGCAGAGGGTGAAGTTTGTGATGACAGAATCCAGGAGTCGACTGGTTAAGATTTTCTTGCCTGCGGGACATCATGATGCCTCACTCAACTGTGTTGAGAATAGAGGGTGTTTGAAAATTCACTCCAGTCAAGGTCATCAGCTTCTGCGTTACCTGTAACTAAAAATGGGAAGTACCACCTTTTGCGTTTTGTCCATGGAGTCTTTCCTAAATACGCTATACCATTTCAATCCCTAAGATCTTTATTCCAGTCTTCAGTAGTAACAACCAAATCCATGTTATTATCTTAACTGTTAAATTTGATCCGCCTTTTGTCTTTCCATGATGTGTATTAGTCCTTCTTGTACTGGATGGGGCACTACCAGCACAATACAAAACAGGATTTCCGAGTCCCAAGTGTGACATTGGCATCACCCATTCATCCATCTTGGGTATGGCCTTTGTCTGCTTTTCTTTCCAAGATGCCCTGACTAGGTAGTCATTAACCTATCATTACGTGACCAAGCTGAATGTTGTGCAGGTGATTGACAAGCTGTGTAGCGTTAGCTCCAAGTGAAAGTCGTGACAACCATGATAGTGGCGTTTACAGAGCGTGGAGTCCAACAGTGGTGTTTTGGTTGGTTAGGTTTTTTGTAACATTAATAACAAAATCAGGGTAAGCAGCACCCTACATGCATCCTTCAGCTCCTTGCAATCACAAAAAATATGGCATATCGATGATGAAGGTCAAATTGGGCTTTTTTGTAACTCTTACGGGTATTTTTCCCTAGGGAGTTAGTCGCTGCGATCAGCATTTGTTTTGCAGTACAGTTTGTCATAAATCCATGTACTCTAATGCTCTGGGGAAAGAGCTTTGCTTGTTGGAAGTGTTGTTAAAGTGATTTCGAGTAAAGTCTTAAATGAACTACACAGAGCCCATTTCAGACGTAAGGAACAATATCAGTATAAAGGAGCAGAAAGATCCTGACATATGTTCTTCAAAGGTTTCTGCCTGTTAAGCCTATGGTATGTCTTAGAATTAGTTTTAATAATTTGCATCATCAGCTTGTGAGATAGTAACCCTGTTCAGTATTTCCTTAAGACAGTTGTCTTTTTCCCTTGGAGGCTAGAAAACTTTCTGAAGTGTCATCAGAGCCTTTCTTGGGGGCTTCCATAACGCCCATCAGGCGTGACTCACTGTTTCTGCAGGTCCTCAAACCCAGCGTTAGAAAAGTTGCCCGTTGCTCTCAGCGAAGCAGGTGGTGAGCTGTGTTGTGAGCTCTATTAGTCTGCACAAAAACAGCCTCCTATTACTGCCACCTCCTCCCCGTTCCCATCCCACCTGTTTGGCTCATCTGCCTCCTTCTGCCTCATCTTATGACTTGTCGTTAGTCTGCCTGGTGAATTCTTTGTGGCAGAAACTTCTTCATGAGAGGTGCATGTGTGCATGATACCCCCCATGGCAGAGCCTGAGTGCTTGGCTGCAGAGCACGGGTGCAGTTCCAGTGCAGATGATACTGCTAATATGGCAGGGCTCCTTCTCGTGCCTTTCCTGCAGACGAGCAGCTCTGCCACAGCACAGCTCGCTCTCGTTTTGCAAGATGCTATGGTTGACAAAAGATAGTTAGATTCAAAAAATCAGTACAGCATAGATTTCACTCCATCTTTCAGTAACGAACAGGAAAAAACAATACCGTGGGGTACTCCGATAAGACTTTGTACTGTGGTTTTGTGCCATGAGTAAAACAATGTTGTAGAAGCCCATCCCTCAAGAATAAGACACTCTGTTATCATCATAGAATTCTTTAGTTTTCTTCTCATAGAAGAATCACACTTTTTATGCCTAAAATATTTTTTTCAGTGACCTGTGCTACTGTAAATCAGCATAGCTCTTGTAACTGCTATAGAGGTATGCTAATTTATATCTACTTAGTTGTAGACCGAGATGGAATTCTGTTTTACTGAAAATACAGATTGCGATAGTACTATTTCATTATAATGGACACTTTATAGGTACATAGTGAGGAGATTTTCCCCATTGCAAGAAGGGCTAATCTAGGCAAACATACAGCCCAAGCACGCAATAGCTGTGATCTTCTATTCTGAAATAAATTTGACTGAAGGACTTAAATTACTTACGAAAAAGGAAAAAATATTCCAAATGATGAGTAAGTATCATAACGGGTGCTAAAATAATGCCATACACCTACTTCATTATTCAGTTACTTATTTATTATCTTTATTCTTAAGAGTAATGATGTAAAAGTGCTTTTTTCCAAATGTTAATTTAGTTCCCTGCAGATGGTAACCATCTGTTAAGTGACGGGTCATTTACAGTGTTTGATTAGCACTCTATATAGCTTGGGTGGACTTACTGTTACAATATGTAAGTGCAGTTATGGAGGTGAAACTTGTTGGATTTGTTCTTTTCCTGTTGCTGTTACCAAAAAAAAGAATTTTGAACCTCTAATATTTTTGCCTGTCTTCTCCTGTTATTTCAAGTTAAAGCCTGACATTCATAGGCTGGTTCACAAGATATGCTTGAGACAATGGCAATACTAGGAATATTGTTAAATTCCAACACCACTTGCAGCGATTATGAGCGTCCTGGTTCTACAATGTCACCGTGTGGATGGGCTCTGTGGTTGCACATGAAAAGCACTGGAAGCTTGAATGAATCTGGGAATCCTGGCTTACCCAGTAGAGAACTCCCTTGGGGCTGTGATGCTGCTTTGTGTACTGATAGCAGCTTATGCTGTGGGTCTCTTTCTAAATTAGAAAAAAATAAATATTGTAATACACCTTAATATTACCGTTATAAAGCGATCTTCCTGCATGAACAGCTCACTTTTGTGTTTTAATACCTTGATCAAAGATAACTAACCCCCATCTGACCGTTAACTAAGCAAGTTCTGATTCATTTCATACTGTGTCTTCTTCTCAAGTTGTGCTGCTAAACCTTAATTTGCTGGCCCTGTTTTCATTGTTGTAAAATTACTTCACACTTTTATTGCTGTGTTTTTAATAATATTCATTAGATACTTCGATGTGTTTTATTTTCACCAGCTAAAAAGCTTGCTCATGGCGCCGCTGCCGAATGCTGAGCTAGTGCAGAGCTCTCTGCAGTTGTATCGTTACCTGCTTCGGTGCTGCAAGCAGCTTCCCGAAGAGAACATTCGTCAGCATTACAGACATGCAGTCAGGCAGGTGAGAAACACGTTTCTTTTGTGTTGGTAGAATTGAGTGTCATGGGCTTTTTTTGTTGCTTTTCTCTTCCTACAGGTTGGACCAACTTTTTATAACTCCTGGCACTCAAAAAATTATTCTTCTGCAAGCTTGAGACATTAGTGGATTTAAAGGGTTGTACTGGAACTATGTGAAGGAGCATTTCTTTTTGTTCACTTTGAACCTGAACCCTTCTCTTTTCCTTGGCTTTCAGCTCTAATTCTTATGTTAGTCAAGAGAGTGCACAGTCATTCCTGACTCACCTGAACACTGTTGTTGTGACTTGCTGGTTCCTTGTTGGTCATTTTTCAATATATATCCTGCCCCGCTAGCTGGGTAAATCTTATCTAATTGTTTATATGGAAGTAATTTCATGCCTTTGATCATACCTGTTGTCCTGTGTCTTTCTAGTTTTAACATACCAGACAACTTCAGTTGTTGTCCTGAATTGAAGTTCTCTGGTTTTTATTGATGATGCATGAAAGGAATAAAATACCTAATAGGAAATTACATTTGACAAGACCTGTTGTGGAAATAGCGCAGCCAGGTGCTACAATTTATATTTTTACCTTTTCTGATCAACAGTTTGTTTGCATCAAATAATTTCTTTGACGCTTAGAAATGATACTTATTTTGTCAATTATTGCATTAAGTTGGCTGGTCAGTGTAACACTTGGATTGAATGTTGCAGAGTTTCAAGGTTCATGCAGATGAAGACAATCCTGAGCGAATCCAGCAGATTATAAAGCGAGCCATTGAAGATGCTGACTGGGTCATGAACAAAGTAAGTACATCAGATTGTCTAAGCCTTGTGCTTTCTGTGCAGATCAAAGAAGAAGAAAACATTGGAAAGCAAGTTAGGAACAGAAAACTGTTCCATTGTCCTGGATGTTCAAGTGTCTGGGTGAAAGGAAATATCTAGCCACTAAGGATTCATGACTGTGGTAGTTCTTGTTTAAAAATCCTTCTTTGTTGATAGGAACTTAAGTGTATTTTTTAGAACCGATGATGCTTTCATTTGGTCTATGTATAAATCTTTGCTTCCATGAATAATTATATTAAATTTCAGCAAGGATGGCTAGTATCACTGTGTTATAGAGAAAAAGAATAACAGTGTTTTGCAAGCCACAGTTTATCGAGATGCATCAGTTGCTTTCCTAACAGGAGTCTATTTTTTTATTATTATTTTTTCCCCCTTCATATCTTGCCTGTGATTGCGCAGATCAGGGTTAGACAACATAGTGGCAAAACTGTGGTAATTGGTTTGCTTGTGCTGTAGTGATCACCCAGTGGATACGCCTCTTTACTATCACAGCACTGAAAGATACTGCTCAAACTGGTTCCTTAAATAAAAGAATTAAGCTTGTTTACCCTTAGACACCTGAGTCACTTGGACTTCTTTGGATTTAAATCTGGTTGGGGAGCATGATACGGTAACATGGATTTCTCAGAGTATAACAAAACAAGTCAAAAGTTCAGCTTGCTCTAAATATCTGTGATTTAATTCACTAAATTACTGTTAAGTCCTTCTTTCTGCCAGCCCATGAAGTCCAAATGAGACTTGTTACAGGAGCAAGCACAGATTAGTCATAGATTATAAAATTACAGCGGTAGCCAAATCCCAGCAGTTACAGCCTGGTAAATAACTCTGTGCCTGAATCTGATTTTATTCTCCCTACAATTATGAAAAGCCTCATTCTGAGTCTTCGGCAGAGATTGTAGTCTGCTTCATTGGCAAACTGGTAATTGAACTGTGTGAGAGGAGGACTGGATTCACAGTGCTTGCCAAGAAGCATTATTTTATACTGTACAGGGAAAGCCTATCAAATTTCAATCTAACTTAAAGGAAACAGATAATTTTATGTAGATTATGAAGAGGTTTGTAAATCCTTGTCGGTATGAACTGTTGCCTTTAGTTATGTGCTCTTTCCCACAAATAATTGTTTCCTTTTCTCTTTTTTAGTATAAAAAACAGAAGTAGAAGAGGAATGATGAAGACAAGAATGTCATCGGTAAACATCCTTAGAGGACTTGCAGTCAAGCCTAGTGCTATGTTACAATTATTGCCTGGAGTTTTCTCTTTGATAATACAATAATTTATATGTCATTGGGATGTCATGAAGCTAAATTAATATTTCTGAAGCTATTTGAGCCTATAGATTAAAAGGCACAGTCTAGGTTCAAAGTACTAGCTTGTATAATCACACACTTTAGCTTAAAGCCCAAATTTGTTTAACATTTCAGTAACACAGCTTCTCAGGAACCTTTACTAAGAATAAAAATGTAATGGAGTACAAGTCATTAACAAGTAATAAATAGTATCCTGTCTGCCATTCATATCTGATGAATTACAGCATCTCAGCTGGAAGAACTTAACAAGAACCTGAGCATAAAGATTTTTACTGTGAGCCTGCAAACCTGAGAAATGCTCATTGAGGATCAGAGCGAATTTCTCTGTACTTGATTGTGGACTAGATTATGCTCTTAAGCTTAGGCTCACCATAGCATAGCAGCATTCGATATACTGATTCCATGGGTTATTTGATGGCAAGGTGGTTCTGCAACAGTGGATTTGTGTTTGTGTAACATTCTGAATTAGGGTAGTCAGGCTGTTACGTCAGATCATCCTCTGTCAGCACCGCAGATAAATTTTCAGAGTGAAGCAGAGGCATGATGAGAGCACAGGTCTGGTTTTAATCTAATAGAGACAAAAGCATAGGCTACTGAGTGGAGAACATGTCCACAAGAGCTTCAAACCCATCTGAAACTTGAACCACAGAATTTTCCACTTGCCTGTCCATGCTATGGGCATATCTTCATTCTGCTCTGTAGGTTTGCACTCGAACTTTAATGGTTGTGTTGTCTTGTTTAAAGATAAGTGCCTGTCACCCTCATCTCTAAACTCTCATGGAAACAGACACCATTCAGACAGAATTTGTGCATTGAATGGTGTGATCACTGAAATGTGCAATGTTGTACAGATAAGGCCTTCAGAACTTTTTGAAACATATAATAAATGTCCTTTAACAAATGGGAGTCCATGTCCTTTTCAAAAAGACTGTTTTTTCACTGCCCTAATAGATTTTTATCGGGGAAATCTCAACAGAAATACTTGCTATCTTAAATAAAACTAATTTAGGGGTAAAAGAGTTTACTTTTGAAACATGACCTTGGCTTTTAGCTGTACTTGGAACTTTGTGCCTCCAGATGGCAGTGCCTGCTGTGGTGCGTGTCCCAAGTCCAAAGGATTGGAGGGTTGGGTTTGTTTTTATCGTTTCCAAATTGCTGAGCTTCCTCACCTGCCAAAATAGAACTCATGTACTGAGGCAGATCTCTTTTAGGGTCCAGATTTTCTTTTTTTTTTGTTCAGTGATGAAAAAAGGAAAAAGAAAATCCTAGCTCACAGTAGTTGAGAATTTCACAAATGCTATAAAGGAAAAGGGGCCATAAGCGGATGTTTATACCATGAAGTGCATTGTATCCAAAAATTTCCTCTTTCTCTGCTAACCCTAAAACCTCCTCTTCAAGAATTCCTGCCCTGTTATTCTTTCCTCTGTCATTGCCACTGTTGTTCCTCTCACTAGTCCTACATATTTCACATCACCTTCTACACTCTCAACTTTTGTTCTACGTATTCCTTAACTCTGTTGTCTCTCATCTCTCTACATCACTTTTTTCTCCTCCTCAAATCCGTTTCTGGCAGGTCCATCAGGAGATACTCAGGTATTATGCTGGAGCTATCCTCCTTAATTTCAGATAATGAAGCCTGAAGGTAATAGAGTTTCTCAACAAAGTAGGTGTAAGTTTTTCTTCATGTGAGGAAAACCATGTTTCTTTCTACTTAATACATTTTTTTGAAAGCATAACCACTCTGGTTTAATCTTTCAGAGTAATTTGATGTAAGGTAGAGCATAGAAAACTTCAACCTTGGCAGTTGATAGAGAATATCCAGCATGAAACTGAACACTGTCATAAAAAAAGCTCAAGTAGATTTGATAGAAGATAACTGAATGTGCTACTTTTAATCACGAACAGCAAACAGATGACCCATGCTGTACTCCAGTTCTATTGTATATTTGGGCTGTAGTATGGAGATGCACTGAGCCTTTTATCGGTGCAATGGTGAAAACGATATGACTCAGTTTCCTGAACTTTGTGTAGTGTGCTCAGCAGTCCTCCATTGCTTTAGTTGTCTTGCTTTATGTAGCGTGAGGCATAGTATTTTGTTCAATTACTAAATAATGTCTAAATCATTCTTATGCCTGTTATTTAATTTATGAATGGTTCGAGAGGAAAAGCAGTGAGGAACTGGAAGGTGCAACCATGGCATGTCTGCAGCTCCAAGTGTCTGAGATGCCAGCTGAGATATGGGAACATCAGACTAAAGGTATGATAGGTATGATATACCTACTGATATGGTAGGACCAGGATCTGTGAATTTTAGTCTTTGGAAACTGGTAGACATGCAATTCTTAGTAAGGTGTGGAGGGGGAATATGGTTGCTGAGGCAGGAGATGCCATGACTAAATATTTTGACAGTAGTGATTCAGTTGTAGGGCATGAGACATCAGAGTCATTTTTTCTTTTTATTTTTTCATACAAAGATAATCTGGTTTTCAAAATAACAAACCTATTAGTAGAATGGAAATATAATGTGAAGATAACTTTATATGCTCTGTTACAGAACAAATAATTTTCTTCATGCTGAGGAGACACCATGCAAACAATGATTTACTGAACTGTAACAGTGAAAGTAACACCAGTGTGAGACACGCGTGTTTCTCTAATGACTGGGCTGAAGAGTCAGTCAGCTGCATAGCTGAGGCTTTTATGTTTCGAGACTTTATACAAATTCTGCTCTTCAGCAGCGTGATTAGAGACCAAAGATGTAGATGAGAACCTGAACTCTGAAAAGGGGTTTAGGCAGAGCTTCAATGCTTTTGACCAAAATTATTATCCAGAAAACTTGTACTCAGAAGTAATTTAATCCTGGAGTTGCCCTAATTTACCGCTCGCTAACCTGTTTGACCTGAGAGTTTATACGGTAAATTGAGTGCTCATTAGTACCCAGGGTCACCTTTGAACAACTCGCTGCCACTCAGCCTTGCTGAGACTGAAGAACTGTGTTCTCTGTCCCACCAATGTCTTCGTTTGGTGTTAATGCCACTGTGCTAATGATTAGCTGCCAGTGGCTCTAACAGGGCCCGCTGCAGAAAGACTTGCACAGTCACAGGCATGGCTTTATTCTTGCTGCTCGCAGGGGAACGCTTCTTTGGTCAGTCTCCTCCATGGTTCTCTGATGGCATTTGCAAAGAAAACATCAGCACCAAATGGATGGGTGAATCTATATTTCTATATTCAGTCATCCAGAATCTCTGAAAATAGAGGTGTTGGGTGCAAATTAAGTTACAGGGGTCGAAAGAGACCGTGTCATATATTGTAATCACTGTTGCAAAGTTTAAAAGAAAAAAGCTCAGTGCTCAATAAACTGTTGATGCAACAAAACATAACGTCAGTAAAAAGAGACAAGCCTATTCTATTCATAGGGTGTGTTTTCTCTTTACTGAAATGAGGAACCCATTTCTGTACTTGTGTATCATGCCAGTTCTGGTAAGTAGTGGACCGTTGATAGGAATATGCAATAACTGAATGATTAAGGGCCTGTCAAAATGCCATGCCAAAGCCCCAGTTTTTGTTTGCCCCGCTGATAAGCAGCACTTCTGCAGTAAGCATTCAGTTACCAGCATCACTTTCAGCATGTAATAGTATCACCTGGCCATTCATTAGCCCAAGAGTTTTCATTGTGTTTACACAAGCATAACTACATTCTGGTAACAACAGTTCTGCAGCTGGTTACTGTAAGACCTTGAGTCAATAACTTCTCCTAATGCTCCTCCACAATTAGAGGAGGTGAGTGGAATTAATGGTTCAAAGGTTGTGTACAGACAGCGCTGTCCGTTAAGCTGGAGAGAGGTTTTCACAGGAGGCTTGTTATGCAAAACAAACATTAGAACAAGGAAAAGACAGTTGGGAGGCTTCTGATCAATATGCTGGGATCACGCTTTTAATTTTCAAAGCAAAGAAACAGATTATTTAGATCACATTTTAGCGTAGGAAAATGAGAAAAAAGTTCTTAGTCATTAGCTCCAAGTTACAGGTTTACTGACATTCAGTCCAAGGACAGAATCCAGTTTGGTGCTATATTTTCTCTTCTATATATTTAACATTAGGAACCTAAAGCTGAAATTGTGTGGAAATAATCTGTGTTATAAATGCGGAAGTGACAGGTCTAGAAAGATTGGAACGATGGCAGTTTGCTGGTGGGTTAGTTCATGTGAGTGTTTTAGTGTATAGGCTCTTGCTCTTAAGCCCACAGACAGATGTTGAAGGTTCTACTTTTGTCATTACCAGCCTTGGAGCCTGATGTAGAAGCTTTGTGTAGTGAAAATATTTCTTTTTTTTTTTTTTTTCTTTTGTTGATAACAGATTTTGGTATAGAAAAGAAAATCTGTGGTTTATCTAAAATATAGGATAGTATTCTGCACTTCACATGGTTAAAGAGATGTATATTCTTCTGCTCACATTGTTATGTCAGAGGTGTTATTGATTTCAGTTCACTCTTGGCACTGAAAGTCATTTGAGCCCTGTGGGTACTGAATAGAATGCTTCCATCCGAAACGAGGCTTTGCCTGGTACCCCTTGTCAATAACTGAATATTCTTTAAATCATTCTTCAGCTTGAGCACTTTGTAAACTCCTTTTCACTTGGTGTGTTATGTCACAGGCATTGCTTTTTTGTTTAGAGACGCACGAGCTCAAGAGTGTGATGCTAAACAAAAACATCTCTTCTGTGGTGTTTGGCCCATTTTCAAATGTCATGAGGAAGTGATCGTTACTGCGATACTGTAAAGAACAAGTATACACGCCATTTCGGAGAGAAACAAATAACATTCACTGATCTTTTTTTATGGGAATCAGTTTC